AAAAAAAAAAAAAAAAAAAAAAAAAAAAAAAAGAAACTTAAAGGCTAGCCTGGGCTACATAGTGAAACTGTCAAAGAAGAAAAAACTGCAGACAAGATTCAAATGCAGCAAAAAGAAAACTTCATTTTGTTCATTCTATCTTACAATCATTTCTAGTCAGTTATTTTTCATGTGAGAATTTGGTAAGGAATTAAAAGATGGAAGTGCAACAAATTGTGTAACTGGTGAAGCTTCCATTTCTAAATGATGGCAGCTCAAGAAATGGACTTTAGGGGCCGGGGAAGATGGCTCAGTAGGATAAGCACTTGACTGGCAAACACAAGGAGCTGAGTTCAATCCCCGGTTCTGCCAAAAAAAGTAAAGTAAAAAATAAAGTTTTGGGGGCCGGGGAGATGGCTCAGTGGAATAAGCGCTTCCCTGGCAAGTGCAAGGGCGTGAGTTCAATCCCCGGTTCTACCAAAAAAATAAAATTAAAAAAAGAAATGGACTTTGTTTTGAAAATGTTATGTGTTCATTCCTGTACTTACAGGAAACTGCTAGCAAAGAAAGATAAAAGATCTTTAAATAGGTTTGTCCAAAAGCATTTAAGCCTTCCCATAAATCTCAAGAGTCAGGACCGGGAGATGGCTCAGTAGAATAAGTGCTTGCCTGGCAAGTGCAAGGGCCTGAGTTCAATCCTGGCTCCACCAAAAAAAAAAAAAGTCTTTGAAAATTACCTAAGGAAATCTGATTTCTATGATTGAAGGCCATTTTAGCTTTCTCCCCTAGTTTGTCACAATACAACAAAGATTTGAAAAAAATAAGTCCTTACTCTGAAGAAGTTTTCAGTTACGCTATGTTTTGGCTTGTGTCTAACTGTCCCCCCACATCTTTGTGCAGTCACAGGTGGGACTTCATCAGAGGTGGCTGGACCTAGAGTCTGCCACTGATTTATGGTGCAATGCAAATGCACTAAGAGTGAGGGATTACTAAATCTACTGATTGCCTTGGCACCGCCCTAATCCCAGTAGCCTAGATAGGATAGAAAAAGGGCGGAAAGAAGCTGCTAAGGTCTCTTGGACTTGTGTGCTACTTGCCATCTGCCTGCCCTGCTTCGCCATGAGCTCTTGCTCCTCTGTGATCCCCCTCAGCCGTGTGCCACCCTGCCTTGGAGTCAACCGGTGATAGACCAAAGCCTCCACAAAGTGAGCTAAATAAAACTTTCTCTGTTTAGCTTTGGGTGTCGGGTATTTTGTCTCAGCAACAAGAGAAAAGTAACCAAGACGTTGCAAACCTAAATTAGTACTCAGATGGGTATTGTTTTAAATGCTTGTTTGTGGATCCTCAAGTCAGGGTCCTGCAGAACTTGTTTTGGGCTTGGAGCTGGCTGTGGTGGTGTGTGTGCCTGTAATACCAGTGCTCTGGGAGGCTGAAGCAGGATTGAAAATTGAAGTCTATTCTAGACAATTGAGTGAGAACTGGCTGAAAATTTTAAAATAAAGTGGGGAAGGGTACTGGGGATGTAACTCAGTAGAAGACCCTGGGTTTAATCCTCAGGGTAGTGTAAAAAGAAAAAACTGGGCTGGGGAGATGGCTCAGTGGTCTAAAGCACCTACTTAGAACAAGCTAAGCTAAGCAAAGCACAGGGACCACAGTTCAATCCCCCAGCACCACATGCCAGCCCGCCCCGCCCCCTGGTGGGCTGAGCTGGCCACACACACACAAAATAAATAAATAAGAAAAAATTTAGGAGGGTACAGTATTAATTTAGTGCCCAGGTTTTGTTTTTATTCAGTAGCATGTGTTTTCTTGGTTTAGAAAAGAATAAGAACATGTAGGAAGGGCCTGGAGAGATAGCTCAGTAGAATAAGTGTTTGCCTGGCAAGCACAGGGTCCTGAGTTCAGTCCCCAGTACTGCACAAAAAAAAAAAAAAAAAAAAAAAAAAAAAAAAAAAAAAAAAAACATGTAGGAGAAGTTGGGAACAGGTGGGGCAAGGTAAAGGGCCTCCTTGAGATGTTGGTAAATACAGTTAAACCCCTGCTGGAGAGTAACCAAGAAAAACAAATGATAGGGCTGTTTATACAACATTGCTTGGGTCATTATTCTTTACTATATTTTTTAGATTCTGGTTTGCTGCACTTGGAATTTTGGAATGACTGTTTCTGGGTCTGGGTCTGGGTCTGTCATTAAGTGGTAGAGCACTTGTGCAGAATGTAGATGCCCTATCTCCAGAACCATGAAAAATGAAAGTAAAAGACACAGGAAGAGAAGGGACAGAAGCAAGAGGGAGGAAGGGAAGAAAAAATAGGAAAAAAACACTTCTGCAATGTTTTCCCTTCCTGTGTAATAACTATGCCATTGTATCAAAGCATAGCTGGGACCAAGGTGTGCTATTACAGTTCATATCTGAATGTCCTCCCAGGCTTAATGTGTTCTGAGGTGGGGCTTCTGGAAGGCTGTCAGATCATGGAGGCGTGATACTTATCAGTGAATTAGTGCTGGCCTGGTCTGCTTCCTTCCTCTCTTAATGGAACTCTGCTTCCTGCCTGTCTGCCATGAGCAAGTTCCCTCTGCAGTGCCCTCTGCTGTGCTGTCCTGCCTTGGAGCCGGCCCACTATGGACCCAAATGTCTCCACTGCAAGCCAAAATAAGCCAGTCCTCCTTTAACTTGTGGGTGTCAGGTACTGTGTCTCAGTTACTGGAGAGTAAGACATATGCTAAGCCCGATCTCTTACTATGTAGTTATTATGGGGTTTGTTTTTGCCCTGCTGGAGACTGAACTCCAGGTTTCATGGTGCTGGGCAGCCATTCTACAGCTGAGCTACATTTCTAGCCTTTAAGTTGATAAGTGTCCAAGTTCTGACCTGGAACTTGCCGTCTTCCCACCACAGGCAATACAGAAAGTAGCTGGGAATACAGGTCCATTGTGTCTTGATCTAGGAAGGCTCACTGTAATTTAAGAACTTGATTCATGTATAACAACAGAAACCTTCCTCAAGGCTGAAATAATAAGGTTCACATAATAGGAAAAGAATGTTTACTGTGTCAAACCATAATTTAAGAATTTCAAACTATAAAAGCAATTTTGAAAACTATGAGGAAGGTCCAGAAAGGGCTTGTTTAGAGGCTTTTCTTTGATGGAAACCTTTAATACTTGATTTAGAAGAAACCCTTTAGAAATGAGGCTGCTGGGCTGGGGATTTAGCTCAGCGGTGTACCACCTTCCTAACAAGCTGGCGGTTCTAAGTCAGATTACCAGTAGCTTCCAGGTGTGATGGTACATACCTGTAATCCCATCACTCCAGGAAGCTGAAGTAGGGGGGTTGCAAGTTTCCAGCCCAACCTGAGCCATTTAGCCAGATCCTATCTCAAAATTTAAAACGGGCATGTGCGTGTGTATATGCATCGTGTGTGTGCGCGTGCATGCGCACACATGCATGGTGTGTGTGTGTGTGTGTGTGTGTGTGTGATGTAGCTCAGTGTAAAGGCCCTGGGCTCAATCCTCTGTTCTAAAAAACAAAACTTAAACAAAACACCCATCAGTGTCTTAACTGAAAATTCAGCTAACTAG